GTTAAGGCAAAATTAAGTTATTAGGTTTTGAAGATTACTAAAAACACATGTTTTACAACACCTTTTTGGCCATCATGGATAATAAAATTGATTAAAAAAAAAATTATCTGTTTTTTATTTTTTTTAATATATATTAATAGTCATTAAAAAAAAAAAAAAATCAAAATTTTGATTATTTACAAAAAAACTTGCTTTCAGTTGTGTGCCACCTTAATGACTTTCGATCGAAAATTCGATTGAAATTTTTTCGGTTCTAATTTTTTTCGTAAATATTTTGGGTTGTGTAATAAATTTCTCATATTCGGTTCTAAATTGAAATTAGAGATTCGGTTGAATCATAGGACGCCTTTTTTTCAATGAAACTTTTTAAACATATCGTTACAAAAAAAAAATGCATTAAGGCTTCCAATAAGACCAAGTGGTGGGTAATAACACCAGCTTAAAAGTATGTTTTTAGTACTATTGATTAAAATTTCAACCATTAAAACTTTTTAATGTCATCAGAAATACTCATCTCAAGTCTGATAATAATTCTCAAGTTTTCTGTTATATTAAAAAAAAACAACCTCCGCGTTTTTGCTTTACGCATAAGTGACATATTAAAACCTGGTGGTAGATATTTAAATCAGGTTTTGCGTCATTAAATTTACTCAACGTTTTAGTTACGCATATTACCATATTAAAATCTACTAGATAAAGATTTCAATAAAGTTTTGCATTATCAAGTTCACACCACGTTTGCATATTACTCCCCTTGTTCCGAAATATTGTTTCAATTTGCATTAAACGTAAAGAATTATTAAAATAAATTACGTTGTGTACTTTTTTAAGTTTTGATTATAAAATATATTTTATATATATTTTATTAGTATATTTTATATATATTTTATTATATAAAAAAAAATATATTTTATATAAATAATAAAAAAAATCAACAACATAATTTATCTTCAAAAATTCTTTATGTTGAATGAATCGGAACAGTATTTTGGAACTGGGGAAGTATATTAAAGGTATAGGAGGTTTCCTTTATTAAATTTTTTAAACATTTCTTTTACATATATAATGAAGTATATAACATTTTAATGATTAAGCGCAAAAAATTATTTTATTTCTTTGTTATAGAAATAAGAACAATTGCGACGCAAAGTTTCAATGTCGCTTAAGTAAAGTTTCAATGTCGCTTAAGTAATTTAGATCCCGATCTGAATTAGTATTAAGCGCCAAATCGTTAAATTTTAAAAAGTTAATTTGTCACTGTAGATTATTTCTACGGCTTCGATTTTCAAATTGATAGTAACAGTAATAGAAAGATACGCTAGCTGAACTAGCTTATCTTTCACATTATTATAAGTATCATTAAATTTTATCTTATCTGTTTAGTGAACACTTAAAGTTGCTTTTTTGCTTCAATTAATTTAATTTAACAAAAGTCATTTCATACTACTTTTTTAAGAGAAAAAAAGTCCGCTCACGATCGCAGTTTTTTTATTTTATTATGGTAGTTATTAAGATATTCCAAGAAGTTCTAAAGGTCTTAAGAACTTCTTGGAACATCTTAATAATCTCTAACGCCTCCTTTCTTACCAATGTTGTTAATCATGTCTTAGCAGGATTATAATGTAATAATAGTATAATGGATATAAAAAAATAAGTTATATAATAAAAATTAAACCTTATACAATGTCTAAATATTTGTGCTAAAACACTTGATATCTATTTCTAAAGTGTGTTATACCCCATTAAATCATAACAGTTACACCCCATGAAGCCACAACAGATATACCCCATGAAGCCACAACAGATATACCCTTATGAAGCCACAACAGATATACCCCCACGAAGTCACAACAGACATTAAAGATTGTCTTGACATTCTTGATTCCTTTTTTAAGAAAATTAAGTGATGTCTTCCCATTTGAGAAAATGCTTCCCCCAACCATCAAGGAACTCGGAAAATGAGATGGAGTGACCTGCTGTTGCTATAGTGTTTCAAAAGACAAAAGCAATTACTAATCATTTTATGGATTGTGAGCTTATTTGAATATAAAAACTTTCTCATAATCATATCGAATTTTCGCGGCAGTCTAAGGAACTGCATTTTTTCCGTTGCTTAGACTTCTGTTGCCTCTGCTCCATTATTTGTAATTTGTATGGGAATAATCCTAAGTCTTGATTAACAACTGCATAGACTCGCAATTAATTCTTAACCCCTTTGTCATATCCATTGAAAAAGAAAAATTTCATGTCAGCCTTCAGATCTTTTAGCAATCATTGACTTACTTTTACATTTCTTATCGAATCCAAAAATAAAAGATCGTTGTATACTTTTATCCAATCCAAAAATAGAAGATCATTGGATATTTTTATCCCATCCAAAAAAAGAAGATTGTTGATTATTTTTATCCAATCCAAAAATACAAGATCGTAAAAGTAGTCTCAATTAATGCATGATCTTGCCCAGTAGGTTGTTAAACATACAGTTACATGAAATCAGATCAAGTATAAAAGATCACTAAGTAACTAAGAGTAGTTTGATTGAATTTAATTGAAATTGTGTTTCGGGATAATTATTGTCTTGGTTCAAAAATACTAATAATGGCCAAAGTTTTTTGGCCATTATTAGTATTTTTGATGGAAAGCCAAACATATATTGTCATGGGTTCAAATTATATGGGTTTCTGAAATGTTAAAGGACTCACCAAGTGAGATGCCATCTAATTTAGTCCAACAAGCTAGACTATTTATAGAGTTTAAAAGATTGAAGGCAACGCGTATGTATTACATGTGTTTTGTTTAAACGTTAAAGTTTTTAGTATAAGTGCAAACTGGCATAAGAGGAAGCAGTTGTATAAACTGGCAAAGTGAAAATTGGCATAAATACGAATTGGCATACGTGCATCAAAAGAGTTAATAAACACTGGCATATGCCATTGTTTATGACAATTGGGTATCCCAATACGGAATTGGCATAGCCAGACGTTTTTTGGACGTCTAAACCTCCGCGAGACGTCTGAAGCACGTTCCCCGGACGACGCGTGTCTACTAGGTATGCCAATTTGCACTTATGCCTATATAGGCATAAATGCAAATTGGCATACCCAGATGTCTGAAGTCTTTCCCCGGACGACGCGTGCATTGTCCGGGAAACGTGGTTTAGACGTCCGCGGGTGCTTTAGACGTCTCGGGTGCTTCAGACGTCTCGCGTCTCGCATCAGTAAGACGTCCGACGGACGTCCCCCGGACGACGTATGCCCACTGAGTAAATACGAAATGCCAATTTGCACTTATGCCAATTATGCCCTTATGTTAATATTTGCAATTTTATTCGGCGCACTTATGCCAGCTCTCACTTATGCCAATTTTTGTAACTGCTTTGCGCTTTTGCCAGTTCGCACTTTTCTTGATGATTGCGAATTTATTCGGCGCACTTATGTCAATTCGCAGTTTGCACTAATGCCAGTTTTTGCAACAGTTTCTCCAGTTTATGCCAATTCTCACATATTTTCAAATTCTTTTTATGCCATTTGGCACTTATGCCATTGTTTGAAAATTCTTTTAGCGCACTTATGCCAGTTTTTACTTGTGCCAGTTTGCAAATTCTTTTGCCAGTTTGCAAATTCTTTTAGCGCACTCACCAGTTCGCACTTGTGCCAGTTTTTGCGTATAATTTTTGTCAGTTTTTGCAACTGCTCAGTCAGTTTTTGCACTTCCATAAGCGCAAAAACTGACTGAGCAGTTGCAAAAGTGCGTATCTATGCCGACACGCAATTATGACGATGTTTGCGAATTCTTTTGGCACACTTATACCAGTTCGTACCTATGCCAGTTTTTGCAACTGCTTCGCACTTATGTTAGTTCACACTTAATAGTTCGTACTTACGTCATTAGCACTTGTAAAATTTGCACTTATTCAGTCGTCCCTTGAAAATGCGTTTAATTGAATTTGCTTGTAACGCCAGTATTAAAACAAAGAATCCATGAATTATTTGCGTTTGAATTTATTTTTATTTAACTTCTAAGTTATATATTATAAAAAATATATAACTTAAAAGTTAAATAAAAATCAATAAAAAATTGCGAGATTTTTTTGTTTTTTTATTTTTCGAATAATTGCCTGTAATTAGATGTAAGATCTTAACTATAAAAGAAAAAAAAATTAAATTGTTAAATTGTTGCAACAACCAATCAGAGGCAATCGTTGTTTAAAGTTGAGTTTTTAAAGGACGTTTTTGTGCAAGGTTTAGCCAACGTCATCAAAATGAGATTTCATTTCTGCCATTATTCCAACGTCTTTACATCGATGGAAAAGACGTTAACTCAACGTCATATTGCTAAAAATATACCGTTACCCTAACGTCTTTTATCTTCAAATGTAACGTGGTTTTAGGCTTTTTAAAAAATCATTTTGCTCTAAAATATCTAAAAGATCTAAAAGGTAATTGTTACAACATTGTTTTACAACGTTGTAATAACGTTGGCAAAATGACGTTTGCGACTGTTTCATTTATAACATCCCACTAATATTTTTCTGATGAAACAATGTTGTTTCGGTGTAATTCTATTTACTGGTTTGATTTCAATTTTTTAAGTTTTTAGAACTATAAACTTTATGTGTTTATATAAATATGTTTTAAATTTCTCTCGTAGCATATTTTGCAAACGTTTTTTTTTTTAAATGTGTAAGCGATTTTCAAAAGGAAAATCACTTACACGTTAAAAAAAAATTTTTTTTTTCCAAAAGCAATATCAAAATATAAGATAATTTTTACTTAAAAGTACTTTGTGTTTATATATTTTTTTATAAATCAAATAAAATAGAAAAGAAAACTTTTTCAATTAATGTTTTCCCAATTAATGAGAACTTATTTGTTTTCAAAGAAAAATACTTTCTTAAATTATTAATAATTTTAATAATTTGATTTAAAAATCATTGGATGTTTTAGTTCTTAACCAAAAGCAAACTTATAGGTGCATTTATATAAAAATTGTCAATAAAATGATGAAAAAATTCTTAATCTTATAAAGCTCATGATATATCATTCAGGAATGTTGACTTGCAAAATATGTAGAGCAAAAGGGTTGCCAGTGAGATGCTGCTACTAATGTCAACTTGTGGATGAGTTATCAATACAGATATTTCGTTTATATTAACAGTAACTTTTAAGGACTTACAATAGATTATGTGGCTTTTATCTCGATAGTCATAAAGTAGTTCCCAGACTTTTGTTAGTTTTCGCAAATTCATAAACTGCACAAGTACTACTTTTTCTGATTCATTTTTAGTCACTTGAAGTAACCCAGAGTCACAGTTTGTTCCTCGAACTATATACGTTATTTCAGGAATATCCATTAACACGCAACAGTGACGAGGATGGGAAACCTGGTTTAGATTTGGTAACGATTCTTTTCCTATTGTAGCAGATGAAGCAAATATAGCTTCGTTTAAGTCAAATAGCTCCACTGATGAAAACTGTTCTTCTGAGAAACCATCTTTCTTTGAAAGTTCTTCTGAAAATAACCATCTGCATTTTAAAACTTTTTTTGATGTAGTAGCTTTTACCAATGCTAAATCAATATATTTACATGGTGCTTCATCCAGTTTTGTAGCGTTGGGCGCAAGTACACGTGGCTGCTTCAAGACTTCTCCGTAATGCTTATGAAAACAAATTTCACCTTCTTTATTTAAACAAAATGTTGATGTTAAGCTAATCACTTCAAAGCATATTAAACTTAATGTTCCACTAAAAACCTGACGCTGATTTAAATCGCTATTTTCAAGACTACTAATTTCGTTATTTTCAATATTGTTAGTTGGAAAATTGCAAGTTTTATTCAGTTCGTTATTACTTTGAATGTTGCTGTCACCTGCATAAATATTTTTATTTATTAAAGAATTATTAAAATCTTTTTGTGTTTTTATTGCGTCATTATCTTCTATTATAATACTACAAAATTTATTAACAACATTACCAGATTCTTCTAAGTTGTTGTTGAGTTCAACGTTATTACATTCGTTTACATTAACTGAAACAGTTGTAAACTCTTTTAGATTTTTGTTCGCAATAGCATTACTAGATTCTCCGAGATCTTCAGTAACAGCAACAGTATTGGGTTCTTCTAGATTGTTGTTTCGCTCTACCGGATTGTTATTACATTCACTATTATAAGTTTTATCCAAGCAAAAACTGGAGTTTTTACTTTTAATAACTTTATTTATCTCACTTTTAATATCGTTATTTATCTCACTTTTAATTTCGTTATTTATCTCACTTTTAATTTCGTTATTTATCTCACTTTTAATATCGTTATTTATCTTACTTTTAATACCGTTATTTATCTCACTTGTATCACTTTTTAACTGCATATGAGCTGAGCTTAAGTTAGTTGGGTAGCTCAGTAAATTATTTTCTTTACTACCCTCCATTAACTTATCGTTTATCATATTTTGGAATAAAGTGAAATTATTCAGCACATCACTTGTTTTCTTTGGATATGCATTGCTGATTGCCTTTGTATATGTATTGCTAGTGAAGTTCGGATTTGCTTTGCTTTTTATCATTGGATACGTGTTATTGTTTTCTTTATAAGACGATTTGACCTTTTTCAAACTATATGTGTTATGAGAATTTTTTAAATCATTTTCGAATTTATTTGGCTTGTTTAAAGAATCATTTATATTACTATTTTGTCTCGGATGGGTAAAAATGTTTTTATGCTTGACAGTATTACCTGTTTCATTTGCGGTTGTAGCGGAGTTGGTTGTATCATTACTAGGTTCATTTGAACATGGATTTACATCCATTATATTATTACCAAGTTTATTTTGATTTGTAAAAAAATTGCTTGTGTTGTTGCTAGTTTCGTTTGAACACGAAGTTGCGTCAATTATTTCATTACTGTTATCCAGACGTTTCGCACTATTTTTAATACTTTTATCAGTTGATGGTGGTTTCAAATCATAAGAAATGACACATTTATCACCCTGCTTTAGGTTTTTGTTATTAGGAAAGAAAAACTCTTCACTAAAATATCTGCCTTGCGAATTTAATGTTGAAATTTGTTGCAATTCATTTGTGTTATCCAATTTCATGATTTGTATTTTAAGAACATGACTATTTTGGGTGTTAAATTGAATTGTGTTAATGCGTTTTACATTTTTATATGTTCTTGTTAGTACATCTCCTTTGCTTCGAAATCTTATTGAAGTCAAGTTTTCTTCATTACCGTTTTCATTTTTTGATTTTATAGAAAGTTCGTAAAGTGCACTTTTCTCAAGATTGTTAATTTGAATTCCTGTAATAGAAAACATATAAATTTTATCTACTTTTAAAATATCGCCTATGGATGTTTCATCTTGCTTCAAAGGTGCAACACTGCCTCTAAACATGGCACCTTGATTTGAAGAACAACGCGAATTTAGTTGATCCATTTTTGAATAGTCTATTATTTCTTCTAGATAAGCAATGTCATTTTGATATGCTTGTGGGTTTACCATATGAGATTTCCAGATAAAAGCTCTGTTGTAAGGGTAGGCTATCTTAAAATAGTCATCAAACTGAGCATTGTGTAGGTACTCGTTTATTGCTGTGCTCAAAAATTTTTCGTCTTTAAAATGTGGCAATGCAACTTGCCGACAGAAAATCCGAAACTCATCCAAAGCTTTTATTATGTTACTGGATAATTTTGATATAAAAGGAACTTTCCGAGGTGTTGTTGTAAATGCAAAAGGCTCGTTTGGGTACTTTTTCTTCCATAAATATTCTGCTGTCGTATTTTCACGGCGCTCTTCAAAAGTACCAATGGTGTGGTTTAGTAGAGTTCCTTAACAAACCAATCAAAAATCAATTTTTTATATATTAGCCTGTTTATCAAAATTTTGAAACAAATGTTGATAAACATTTTGCTCAAAAAAAATTTCTAGCTTAAATTTAAAAACTGTTTATATAAATACGCTTATTTATCAACATGTACATAAATATTCTAAACTTCAACCTGCAAAACTGAAGACAGCTTACCATATAATCGCATACAGTCTTCTAAATAAGCGTCTGGATTGTGCATATGAACAATCCATATTAACTCGATATCTAGGGGCGCAATGAGACGGATTTCAAGATATTCAGCCACCAATGGAAGCCATAAACTTTCATAACGACGAAGTGCTTCTTTTGCGATTGTTTTCTGAAACAACTGAGGAATGAAGTTAAACTCTTGAATCAGATCGTAAAAATTTTGAGCCTCAATTAGTAAGTTTACATCCGAGAGTCTTCCGGATGAATTTCCCATTATAAAAAACACATTTTTATTTTTTCACGGATGAGTATCTTAAAGACAGTTAAACAACAATAATTTTTAAACAATAATCTAAATTTAATATTGTATTTAATATATATATATATATATATATATATATATATATATATATATATATATATATATATATATATATATATATATATATATATATATATATATGTGTGTGTGTGTTTATGCACACACACACACACACACACACACACACACACACACACACACACATATATATATATACACACACACACACATGTATGTATGTTTGTTTGTTTGTATGTATGTATGTATGTATGTATGTATGTATGTATGTATGTATGTATGTATGTATGTATGTATGTATGTATGTATGTATGTATGTATGTATGTATGTATGTATGCATGCATGTATGTATATATGTGTGTATGTATGTGTGTATGTATGTATTTTTCACATAAAACGAATAACTATATACAAGAGTTCTTTAAATCGTAAACAACTTTTGTTAACGAATCATTTTTATCATTTTAATGCAAAACAGAATTTTTCAACCGTTTTTTAATCTTATTCATAATTGTATTGACGCTCAAATTGTTTTTTAAAAATAAGTTGATAATTATCGACTAAAAATTCAATAGAATTCCAACGGTTTTATAAAGAGCAAATAAATAAAACTCATTACGTATTTTTACAAAAAACAAATAAATAAATAAAGTTTTGAGTTGCATTTTTATTTTTTATATAAATATATATTAAAATTAATATTTATATAAACATAAAAATAATAAACGATAAGCTATTAGTTTACAGAGCGTTTCGTTCTGAGCGAATGATACGTTGATTTCGTTGAGCGAATGATACGAATGAGCGTTGTTATGCAGCCGTATTCTCATCTATCCGTTAAGTTTAACGGAACTTTTGTCTGAAATTTCATTACAATATATCTAAGTAAAGAAATGACAAAAACCTTATTTAAATTTTTAAAAATAAAACTAATACTAAATAAAACATTTATTTTTAAAAATTTATATTTTCAAAGAATTTTTTTATTAATGTAGTTAAAAAGAAATTTTTTACTGACGTTTCGTTAAGCTTAACGGAGAGATGAGAATACGGCCCCTGATTTTTAAGCTGCAGGAGTATTTTATCGCGTAATTATTATTTGAACGAGAAAAAAATTGGCTTTAAAATAAAACATATGAATAGAACATAAGCATAGCCAACTCCAGAAAATTCGGCACCCTAGCTAAACCTGTCACTCTGCTCCCCCTCCTCCACACTTACGTCAACTAGTTATATAAACAAAACTATCAGAAAAAGAAAAATTATATAATGCTGTCGTTTGTTTTAAAACGTAATTTAATAACGTATTTACGTTCAAACGAATTTATACATACATTGTTGTATATAAACAAATAGTTGATTTATTCATCTAGACCATCATCATTTTTTAGGTCATCAACTGTTTTTGAATTGTGTAAGTAAATACTTTAACAATGAATCAGCCTGTTTTGTTACGTATGTTTCATTTCAGGCCATTGTTTACAAAACAATGTACTAGAAAAATTGTTTTCTTTCTACCATGGATATTAAAAAACGACGGAAACTGAAAAACAATATTCGTAAAACCTGTTATTAATCTTCTCTACAGCGATACTACTAAGTCTATATAGGTAGTTTTGGCATAAGTATAGACATATTTTTACCAATCTTTTACCTTCAAACCAAATAAATGCTATTAGCGTAACACATGACATAAAAGAAAAAGCAAAAACGAATGAGGCAGCTTAGCTACCTAGTTTAAATATATATAAGATCAGTGCTAGAAGTGGAGAAAAAAAAGTAACGGGATGATATTTGGTAAATTAAAAACACCATCCCGCCATTGTTATATAGAGAGACTTTTAAAAAGGTGGCGGGATGGTTTATACTTTATAAAAAGGCGACAAGTTGGCATCCCGCCGCATCCCACCTCAATTCTAGCACTGTATTAAATAGACATAGTATAATTAAATACATATTCGATAGATATAGAAAAAAAAACTAGTTTTTTTTTCTATAATAATATACGTGTGTGACTCGTACTGTTGTACAACGGCAGTCTTAAACTAGCATGTTTGCTATGACAAGTCTGCAGTCTTTTTTTTGCTAAATTTAAACATTTAAACTTTGCTGAAGCTAAAATTTTAATGTTGATAAAATGATATTTTATGACTTTTATTATTTTGTTATTATTTAATGAAAAGCAGAAAAACTGCATAAAAAACACATTCAGAGATGAATGTATATATATTTATAAATATTTATACCTAAAACCTATAAATATTTATACCTAAAAACCCTGAGGTGGATCAATTGATCCACCTTGTAGAAAATGTGCATATGCATAACAATTTTAGTCAAATAATTAAGTTTATTTGCAATAAATAATTAAGTTTACATATATTTTATAATAAATAATTAAGTTTATTTGCAATAAATAATTAAGTTTACATATATTTGATAAACACTTTCCACAAAAAGGTTTCACACAATTTGCACATACTGTTGATCAGGGCCGCCGAGAGCCGTCACGCTGCCTGGGACAGCAATCCTGATTGGCGCCATTATTTATACAAATTTCATTATATTATATATGAAAGACCTTTTTTTTTATTATTTAGATACCTTCTTTTTATTTGGTGGCCCTTGGATATCTGCCGCCCTGACAAGCTGTCCCTCACAACCTCCCCTCTCAGCGGCACTGCTGTTGACGTCAGATTAATTTGCAGTCTGTTTTTATCTGACATCTCAAACGGGTTGATAGTTGTGTATTACTGTTGATAGCTAGGGCGGTATTACTGTTAGCAGCAAATAGGGAGTAATATTTGCTTCTCTTAACTGTTCAGGTAAAGCGTAAAGCAACTTTTGTTTCGAAATTTTTTGTTGTGTAACTTTTTAAAAAATGATCTAAGCAATTACACGGGTCAAGTCTAAAATATTGAAGAAAACAGCTAACGGCTAGCGTCTGCACCCAGATTATGTTGACATTTGTCGACACATTGAATCTAACATACCGATTCCACATTTATTTGTATTGTAATAAAATATTGCCTCTAGTTTTTTCTTCCCGACACTTAACTTAGTCGTCCCTTTATGGATTCTTGATAATAAAATAACAGTTTTCTTCTTCTTTGCCTGGTAGTCAATCAAATTCAATGGTCTATTTTTGTAGAAAGTTGTATCGTAAAGTGGAAGTAGATCAAATACTGGAATTTCTTTTCTATTATGCTTAACTGTTCCAACATTTGATGTTTCTTTTTTGCAAAAGTTTTGTTGCAATATTGACACTTGTAAAAAAGTTATCTGTAGTAACATTATACCTGCGACATAAATAAGGTTTCATTAGTGACATGATCACATAAGTAACCAAATTTTTAAAACGGTTTTTATCTTTACCTAGATACGGTTTGATATTGAGACAATATTTGGTCTTTAGATCAGCTAAAATCCAGAATTTGATTCTGAACTTGTCCGGTTTATATACTGTGTAAAGAGACATATATTGAATCTAATGTTTTTCATAATGTCTCCAAATAGAGAACGCGACATAGTCTATATAAAGACATCTACTTAGAGTAAAACGCGCCGTAATTTGGGCATAAAACCTATGCATATATATGTAAGGTGAAAAAAATTTATATTTTTTTATATAATTTACATCAAAATTAACAGTTTTAACTGTTAGTTTCATACATTTAAACAAAAAAATAAGTCTAAATGCATACAAAAAGTTGGATCAATTGATCCACTTTAGGGTTTCTAGGTATATAAAAAACCTGGGGCTTCTAGTGTTAAACTTAACAACTAAAAAACGAAATAAGAAAAATGGGAGTATTTTGTAACTTCTTATCACATAAGAAATTACAAATTCTCAATGAGCCATTATACCAGATGTAGTAAAATCATTGGCTAGCATCTTAAAATAAATGCCACTAATGGTCCAACGATCCGATGAGCAAAATTCCAACGAACAGCTCAAAATGGTTATAGTCCAATGCGAATCTACTTAAGTCCAATACGAACCTACTAAAACAATGTTTACTGGTATTCATAGAAAAAGTTTGTTGCATAAGTTTGTTGTAATCTCAGTTGTAATCTAGTTTAACTATTTAAAACTTATTTGTTCATACTCTCAAAATGTTGTTTTTGGATTTTGTTTTACCATTGCATACCGACGATATATTTTTAAAAAAATCTTTAATTTCGCTGTACTATAACTAATGATTAACACACACTGACATGTGATGAAGCATTGGCGGTTTTCTTAGGTTATACAATAAAAAGCAATAGAACCGCACGTAAATTTTTCGATAAAAACCGGTTTTCAATATATCGTTATCAGGCTAATCGATATAAAAAAAAAAAAAACGCATTGCTATTAGCTAACTAAATGTCGCTATTGTAACTAATCACCCTCGATTCTTAATCTAAAAATTACTATCAAAATTTACGGCATAATTGCCAGTGCTTAGTGTCGTCTAATATTTATTTGAGCTATGATAAATTTAAATCAAGTTTCAGTTGATTGCTTGTCCCCCTAAGTCCCAACTCTGATTTTATATGTTTTATTTTGGTTGCTATGGTATCTAATTTTGCATAGCAACAATCTGCTTTTTCCTTAACATCATGTACACAATATATGGCGAGTGTATATATATATGGTATCTAATCAATGCTCAATGTTTAAAGAACAGAGCTATAATAAATAAGTAAAAACACTTATCTTCCTGATGAACCAATTGATGGAGAAACAATTTGTTGAAGAAAAAAATTAGATCAGTGTTTTTACTAATTTTTTACTTATATTCATAACCCATAGTTCTTATGTTCAATGAGGCTCAACAGGCAAGACATAATGACTTTATCAATTTATCGCGAAAATTTCATTTATTAAAACATTCAGTGGATTAAAAATACAATAAAATTTATTCACAATTAAGTTATTAATTTTGAACTTAAATAAGGTTTCCATAGCGACTAAATAAAAAAAAATCACTTATCTTAGAAGTACGATCTCAATTTGGTACTCATGCTAATTTTTGTGAATATAGTACTCGTAAAATATATCTGCAGATACCATAAATACGTTGTTGCTGTGCAAAATTAGATATTCATAGCAACGAAATAAAAAAATAACACTTTACTTTAGTACTCGTGCATTATACATTAGTTAATTTTTTCCAGTAAAAGTGAATTGATTGTGCAAAGGAAAGAAATTTTTTTGATAATATTAGAAGTATATATATAATTACTTTTTATATATCTATATATCTAAGATATATATTATATATCTAAGACATACAGTATATATCTAAGATACATATTATACATCTAACGTTCAAGAACATTGCAAATGTTCAAGAACGTTCTATGAACGTTCATAGAACGCGATTGAACGTTCGCAACATTCGTCAAACGTACTTGAACGTTTTGTGTAAGCTGGGAATTAAAGAGATCACGGGAAAAAGTAAAGAAAGTACAATATCAGTACAAAATGCAATAAAAATTAAAAATCATTACATAGTGATCATTACAACATTACAAATTAATGTTCCTATTTCAGTTCTTCCAGTTTTTTCTAAAATATTAAAAAGAATAATGTATAACAGAGTCTACAATTATCTTGTTCATATTAAACTTTTATATAATAATCAACTTATTTCTCTTCCAGAGAAATAAGTTTACTGAACACGCCATACTCCAAATAACACGTAACATTTCGGATTCTTTTAAAAAATCTCATTATACCCGAGGAGTATTTTGAATATTGAAGCTTTTGATACTGTCGATCACCACATTTTATTAAAAAAATTAGAGCTCTATAGCATTAAAGATAAATGACTAAGGTTGTCTTGTAAGAGAAGATGAAAGCTGGTTCAAATCTTAGCAGTCATAGTAATTTTAGTAATCGAAAGCAGTTCGTTAATATCCAAGACTCTTTTTATCTTTTATTAATGAATGTAACACGTGGGGTCCCATAGGGATCCATAGATGAGCACCTATTATTTTTAATATAAATATATGACCTTAACAAAGCCTCTAACTTAACTACTATAATTTTTGCTGATGACACAAACCTGTTCCAATCTCATTAAAACATAAATACACTTTTTAATAATATGCCATAAGAATTAAATAAAATCTCATATTGGTTTAAGAAAAACAGGTTTTTTTTTTCAATATTGATAAAACAAAGTAGATTCTTTTTCCCCAATATCCAGAAAAAAATGTTTATCAAATACGATGTCCGACTTTTTTTTATTGATAATACAATACTAAAAAGGACAAAACTGCTTGGAGTTCTTGTTGATGAAAACTTAACCTGGAAACAACAAATCAATAATATCTCCATGAAAGTTGCTAAAAGTTTTGGAATTATATATAAAGTTTGACATATGTTAAATAAACAGCAGTTAAAACAACTATATAATTCGTTTATCTACTGCCATTTAAGTAATGCAAATATTGTATGGGAAAGCGCGCGCAAAACTATACTTAAATATCTTTATCAGCATCATAAACACGCAGCTCGCTTAATTAATTTTGTAAATTGTTTTTCAAATTCAAAACCACTTCTGAGAGTGAGAAATGAAAACCTTAAATGTATATAATATTTACTATATTACTAAATGTTTATAATATTTTATGTTTCATGTGTAATATGGAATATTTTAAAATTTGCAAAAATCGGCACCCGTTGACTTTCTTTCCCGCCATTTGATGTTTACGACTGTTCTATTAAATTTCTACATGTCTTTAACTAAACTATTAAATTTCTACATGTCTTTAACTTTAACTTTCTACATGTTTTTAACTAAAAAGAATTTTTGATACTTAACTTTTTATTTATTGGTTTCTTATTCTTACATTCTTTTTTTTTCAGATTAGAAAGTGGTACAAAATTAATTCATATATAAAAGATGCCTGGTTACCTCGAAAAACTTGAAATTATAAACTTTAAATCGTATAAAGGAAAGCATTTGATTGGGTTTTCTAAATTTTCCGCTATTATTGGACCAAATGGATGTGGTGAGTTCAGATATTTTGTAGTAATAATAAGCAGTGTGTTCAATGAGCTTTTCATGGTTAAATTAGTAACTTTTGTTTTATAATAAATTAAAAAAGGATTATAAAACTTATGAATAGCTTAAATATTAGACTATTGATGCTTTAAAAATCATTCTAAATGTGAAATGTTGGAGCTACTTGACTTTCTCCCCCTCTCCTCTGTTTTTAGGATTGATTGTAATAGAACACATACTGATTCAAAATCATATAAAAACATAAATGAAAACTTGAGGATAGTGCTCTAGTTTGATGTTAAAGAATAATTAATTACACTTAAAATGCTAATATTCGCCATATTTTTGTAAAGGACTCCCTAATAACCAGATGATTAAAACATTATTTACTGTAAAACCTTTAAATATGTGTGCCCTAGGGTTGGCTGAGTAAGTGTTAAATGAAGCACTAGTAACTAATCTAGGTCTGTATTTTTATTATTTTGTTAGGCAGCAGCTGTATTCTCATCTCTCCGTAAAACTTAATGGAGCTTTTGTCTGAAATTTCATTACAATATTTTTAAGTAAAGAAATGACGAAAACCTTATTTAAATGTTTAAAAATAAAACTAATACTTAAATAAAACATTTATTTTTAAAAAATTGTATTTTTAAAGAACTTTTTTTATTAATGTAGTTTATTAATGAAATTTTCTACTAACGCTCTGTTAAGCTTAACGGAGAGATAAGAATACAGCTGTTGAGTGTTAGTCATAAATTTTTCTTTATTAATAAATTAAATTATTCTTAAAAAAATGATCTTTTGAAATCTAATATTTTATTTTTGTATTTAGTTTATTTTAATGTATTTTATTAAATATTTTAACATTTCCTTAAAGCTGGAATTGAAATTTAAGCTAGTGCTCTGTTAAACAAAGCATTAATTTAAATTTCAAACATAGTAATTAATCAAACTTAACAGAGGGAGAAGTAGAGGTACATGGCTTTTAATTTGATTCAGAACAAATCTGGGTTATATTTTTATTTACTGTTGATTAAATATGATTAATCAAAATTTTGGTATTGTCTAGCAGAAGTTAAAAGTACATGATTTAAATTTCAGAAGAGGTTTATTTATGCAATCATAAAAATGAAACTTTATTTTATTTATACAAAAACGAGTTGAGTGGTTTCTAATTATTCCACTTTTTTATTTTCCAATTATTGCCATCTCTATATTCTACATAAAAACCACTTTAAACTTTTCTGGGAAATTTTATTAGATTCAATAACTATTCCAAACTTCTATATAAGCTCACAGCATGATTTTTGGCTTCTATACTCACAATAGAAATCAACTTGATCATCATTTTGTCCTTTTTTTTCAGATGTATATATTTTTTTAAATGCAACACTATTACACATAATGTGGAGATGCTTGTAACATAAAACAAAGTGGAGACTTTTCTAATCTTGATTTTGTCATATGACGCACTTATAACTGATGCTTTTCCTCCTTACCTCTTGACTCAATCAAACCTTATAAATGAAATACTTATGAAGTATTTTACTGTAACACAATACTTCTGTTGTTCAACGCATTTAGAAGCCATTTTGTTTTGTTGTGCTAAACAGTTCTAAAAAATTAAAATGCAAAAAAATAAAATTAAAATTGAGGGAATATTGTTACTTTTAGGTTTTGATTTAATGTTTATTAGGGGTATTTATCCCAAATAAATGCAATTGCACATGATTTTAACAATTTCAAGATTGAAGATAATAGAAATAATATAAGTTTTCCATACATTAGAAATAATAATTACAGTATAGGGAATTTTATTTATCAAATTATGTTTTTTAAAATTTTAGTAAAAATATAAAATTGAGGTTTTACATAGTTTGTAGAGTTTTTTTTATTATAAGACTTATATGTTCAACTTTTGAGATTTTTAAAAAAAGATTAAAAGTTTGTGTTAATATGATGATTATTATTTAACATAACATGGCATGCCAAAGGCTTTACATATATTACCAGTAATACATAATAATAACAATAATAATAATAATAATAACAATAATAATAACAATAATAATAATAATAATAATAATAATAATAATAATAATAATAATAATAATAATATTAATAATACATGACAACATGATGTTATGTACAAGTTTTATACCAGTAAAACTCAAAATTATTTTATATTATAAATATAAAATGTAAGAAAAATAAAATGTTCTATAATAAATAATAAAATGTTGTTTGAAAATGATGTTTGAAGCAAAATCAGGATCAAATTCTAGTTGCTCAAGAGTTTAATTACTAAATATCTGACGCTTGTGATTGTCTGTTTTAGGAAGTACTTGAGTTAACTGAATCTTGTATGGGTGTAAACCAAGATCCTGTTTCAAAATTTGTCTTATCAAAGTTGTACATAAGCCAAGTTGCAACGATCAACATCTAACCAACTTTCCTGGTTTTTTTCTTTGTTCAATACTTTTCCTTCAGTGTCCTTAAAGGGACTGCCAAATCCCAAGACATGTTGTGTTCATATTAAAGAGAATGTTAAAAAAAAATGTCTGAGCAAATTTTTTTTGATTAAAACTAATTAATAAATGTATACCAAGAAAAACAAATCTTGTTGTTTTAGTCGAAGCTCTTCTTCTCCATTTTCTGCGGTATTTGGAATCTGTAAAATAAACGCGATTTTCCAGGCACAATATACAGACTTGATAATTTATTCAAGTGCGTTTAATTAAAAGAAGTTTTAGTACATGACATCATTGGAAACATTCTAGAAATTCTTTAAAAATTTTACTATTAAATTTTACTAAAATAAATAACTATAGTTAGTTATTTTATTTCCTAAAATCTTTACATTCAAAAAAACTTTATCTTTTTTTGTAGCTATCAGAGCCGTGGCTACATGGACCACGGCAATGGTAGACCTAGGGACCCCTATGGCGCCAAATCGAGTTATATAATATCTCAGATGATTCACAAGTGTGTTCTTTACATTTTGATGCAAGTTGTTTCAACAAATCTAATGAACAATTAATAAAACCAAGCACAAGGAAAAGATATAAAAAATAAGAATATGCTAATAAAATATATAATTTGTAATTAATTTTCAAAATTTTGACAGTTTAAAAAATATATATTATAAAACATTTATTTTTGAAAACAAATGATTATAGTTTAAAAGATTTACGGCTTTGCAGATGTGGCTCCCAGAATGAGCCATAATATTAAAGTAATAGTTCATTTGATAATATATTCTTAAAACAATTTATGCTAGATATCTCAAAACGCAACAAATCATGAATAATTGCTAAAACATTTCAACAAAATACTCTAGAACTTTATTTCGCTTAGTCAGCGTATTTTTTAAACCAATAGAATTAGTTTATTCGTAAATTTGGTGGGTTTTTAGTGTTCGTGAACTCTTTTTATTCTTCCATAAGATGTTTTAAGAACATTCAAGTTAATTATGTTTCTGTGTATGTCCGTAAAACAAAAATTAATATATATTAATTTTTTAATTTTGAAGCCCCTGCCTCAATATATATTTGGATGTTATAATAATAGAAATACAAATAATGAAATAAGATCACCTCAATACCAAAAAATACATTTTTGAAAATCAGAGAAAAAATGCGTTAATTTTTTTTTAATATTTACAAAGTAAATTAATAAAAGAGCATTATTATTTTAGGTTAAAAATTATTTTATCTAATATTTTGAAAGAAAAACTTACAACAAAAGAAATCAAAATACATGTGGTCTAGGCAATTATTTAAAAAAAGTTGTGCAAATAAAATACTATTTTGTTTTTAATTTTTTACAAACACATTTTAGAACTTAAAAATATAATAAAAAGGAATATGGTTTGGAAATAGTATGTAAAAAATAATAATCGGTGTTTTAAACAAACAAACAAAAAAATGTCATCATGTTATGTACTAAAACTTCTATGAATTAAACGCACTTGAATAAGTTATCAAGTCTGTATAATGCGCCTGGAAAATCGCGTTTATTTTACAAACTCCAAATACCGCAGAAAATGGAGAAGAAGAGCTTCGACTAAAAAAACAAGATTTGTTTTTCTTGGTATACATTTATTAATTAGTTTTAATCAAAAAAAATTTGCTCAGACGTTATTTTTTAACATTCTTTTTAATATGAACACAACATGTCTCGGGACTTGGTGGTCCCTTTAACAAAAACTTTTTATAAAAAAAATTTAATATAAAATCAAGTAAACCATTATCAGTTTTCTCCCTCCCAAATTTTTAAGAGAAGGGCAATTCTTTACTCTCGCAACTAAATTAGCGAGCGTTTTTTATCGTACTCCCAATTTATAAATTTCCATTAAAGAGCGTGTTTCATGTGACGGAAGCGATCGCTCCTGCTTCATGCTAAGGCCTGATATATATATATATATATATATATATATATATATATATATATATATATATATATATATATATATATATATATATATATATATATATATATATATATATATATATATATATATATATATATATATATATATATATATATATATATATATATATTAGACACCAGCGGTTTTCAACTTTTTTCAGAAAAATCAATTTGTTAAAGCGGGAGTACCTTTATTAGACTATAAAACTATGATGTGAAACTCAGCCCTGAATTCTGGTCGCTTACCAGTGTGTTGCATATAGGTGTTCCTAGATTTTTTTCTAATTTTTATAGCACAATTAATAATTATTTGAAATTATAAATAATGATAAATTTATAAATCAGACTGCATATATCTTACTATTAGTTATAGTTTTTCAGAATTTAAGTTTTAGATTTTAAACATATTTTTCAATTTCAAAAAAAATGTACAAATATATTGGGAGTATGTGTTGAAAATGAGTGTTTTTTATAAAAATCAACAGTTTATTTTAAAAAGATTATCTGACTCAGATCATTCAAAATACTGTCCATAAGTAGCTATGACCTCCCATCTTTCAGGTAGCATTTGGATTC